CGTGTGCTCTTCCGATCTATTTTCTTTCGTTTCTAATTAAAAAAAATATTCAATTCGCTTTTATTCATCTTTCATTTGTTTTCAGAATTGTCACTTATTTCCGTTATGAAAATAATTTCGTAAACTTTATAATGCAAAACAAGGTTTTTTCCGACTATTCATTCCTTCCCTGTTTCAAAATTATTACAAGTATTCCTACAAAATATTCTGCTGTCTGAGAAACATCTTATATGTTTTTGCGGTATGTATTATGTGCTGTAAAAATTCCTACAAAAAATGGGAGGAGCACACGGTCGTGTGGCGTGAATCACGTATAAAAATACTCATTTATCGAGTATAGTCTGCGAGACGTAAACCTGTGTAAATGTATGTGGCGCTACATACAACAGTCGATGACTAATATTACGAATTATAAAACATACGCCATTGAAAAAATCATAGTAGCTATTTCGCTGATACAATTTAAGCAAAATTGTGAATATATATGATATTGTTTTTAACATTTTTTTGTTTAATTTAATGACCTTTTTTTCTTACAATTAACAAAATTCAAAAGATTATGAATAACATATATTAAATAATTTCATCTTTTTTTTATCTTTATACTTAACATTAAATAAATTAAAATTTAATAAAGCCTATTCTTTGAATCTTTAAAGAGTTACAGGTTTCTTTTAAATTATGAAAAATTTGTTCTAGAAAAAAGATATATCTATATTTAACATATAACATGTAACTGATTTAACCAGATGCAAAATATGACACTGATTTCAATTTATAATCCTTTGCATTCTGTATGAATTAAATTATTAAAATCTTTGTTGAATTACAATGTATATATATATATATGTGTGTGTATTTATAAGCTTCTGTGCATTAATTATACGAATTTAAAATCAAAATCATAAAATTCAAAATAGCGAATATAATGTTCCTTAAGTATGTAGATATAATTATTTGAATGCATCGATCTACACATTGTATTTATAAGTTTTTCAAATAATTATAAATCTCAGATTATAAAATTATAAATTTTAAATGGAAGATTTAAATATGACAAAATATTATTTCTTTTACTTATATGAAATAGGGTACAGCGGGTTAATTTAGATAATAGTAAGTGTTTGCAAAAATTTCAGAAAAATAAGAGATTTTAAGATACATTTCATTATATCAGACATTGATATTCTATCTCGTATTTTTTTAAAATTTTGCAAATACTTACTATTATCCAAATTACCCCACTATTCAAATTATCCCGCTGTACCCTACAATTAATTAGAAAACTTATACTATATACCAATTATGGATTAAAAATGTCTTCAATTGTTGAATTAATTGTTTAACTTACCGATTTTCGGATGTGATATTCAGAATATCTTAAATTAATTGTTAATTGCATGTTTACATAAGAAATATAAATAAATAAAAATAGAATTAACATTATTTTAGTAAAACTAATAAAATATCCGTAAATGTATTGTGCATAATTTTTATAACATTAACATGTCACTAGATAGACTGCACAATTAAATACACATAAAAATATTTTTAAAGAAGAAGATCTCAATGCGTAACATGACGTAATGGGTTTGCATTTCTCGGTTTTCGACACGCAATAAATGCACAAGGGGGGCTGAAAGGTATCTCAACGGATCGATATAATACCTAACAGAAGGTGACTTCCATTCGTGATATCAACCATACGGAACGACATGATTATCGGGTTATAAAAAAACAAAATCAGTAACAATATTAGAATCTCATAACATAAGTTCCAATTGTTACAAACAGAAAATAATTGATTTCTAGTTTTTAAAAAAGATCTACTATTATTGCTAAAAAAGTAAATATATATGACTTAATATCGAAATTCCGATTTCCTACAAAAGTCGCTCACACGATTGTTATCTTTGCTGATATCGATCTGTGATTATTATTAATCGCTTTGTAACTGGCTGAAACTTGGAGTTAGTGCCGATATCATCAATTTTCCGCGCGTCGACGCTCTTCGTATAATTCATTATTCCTTAATTGTTAAGTAGAGCGTAGCGTAATGTAGAGAAAAAAGGTACGCAGGTTACAGCTATTTTAATCGTGCATACAATACACAGAGAGAAAGATAGCTGAGCAAGTATCACGTCGATGGCAGACGCTGTAACCAAGCGGAAGTACTTCCAAGCATGGTCGGGTTTTGTGCATCAGCACTAAATTAATTAACATGTTCTTGTCAAGACATTTGGTTTACGAATATTAGATGCATACGTTACTCAGTCGTACGAAATTCTATTTGAATATTTGTACTGTTTGAGCTTTTCCCGATTTTGTTAAGATTTCTAAATTCTTCAGATTATTCACATTAAAATTTGATATTTTTTTCCTTATAGGAAATTAATAAAATAATTTTTAAGACAACTATCTATATACCTACTATAACTAGATTTACATTCAATTTCATTATTATATATATTATTGTATTAATTTGAAATCGTTATTTTTTATTTAATTTCTTAGAATCGAATAAAAAGGGCTTGACATACACAATCTGAAATCAAGTTACAGATAAACAAGAATTAGTAGGTATATGACATCGGATTATATGACAGCTATCTAAATAAAATCCGCTTAATATCATATTTGTGAGATCGTTGGTTATAAGAAAATATGTTTGTTACTCTGTCATAAGAAATTTCCAAGTATTTTAAATTTAATTTGTGGAGAGTAAAGAAATAGAATTGATGATTAAGAATGCTGGATACTTAGTTTCGTGAGAATAGCTTGTCAAGCAAAAGATCAGGATTTCTATTTCCGGAACACATTCGGATAAACTTACGGTTTGGTAGATGTCGGTTTACATGTCAGTTTAAATGATATTTAATTTAAATTATCCAAACAAGACTATAAAATCACTTTTTTAAATTCTACTTCAAAACTCTTATTTATTATACAAATGATTATAACACAAAAATTTTATATTAATTGTTTAATATAAAAACTATGTTTAATTTATTTACATCGATTAACTGCGTAGTATAAAAATAATTAAGTAATTAAAATTATCTGGATGAATATAAAATCATTTTAATTACACTTCAAAAATAAAAGTGTAAATTCAATTCTTCATATAAAATACATACAATTCATAAGGAATTTATTTAAGAAATATAACGTACATTTTAATATTATTTTAACCAAAACGATTTTGCAAATATGACACAAGTAAATAGAATGTCATATAATCGATGTGCTAATCTCTGTTTATCTGTAGTATGACTTTGAAAAATCATGAATTGTTGGTTAAATTCATACGAGTTACTAACACACGTATGTACTAGGAATTTAAATGAGAAAATATTTCTGCATTGTTCCTTGAAGGGTAGAAACATTCAAATAATAAAGCAATAAATAAATTCCGCTGATGAAAGGGTACTTTATAGTTAAACATAGTAATACTTATACTTGCTACATTTGAGAGTACATGTATGATTATGAGAATATTTGAGAATGATTCTCAGCCCTGCGATTACCTCAGTCTTGCACAGACAATTTATCGTTAAAGTAAAATGAAACAAGATTCTGTCGTACTCACCTAAACCCATATCTCGGAATATCTCCTTTGGCGCGATCTCGATTTCTTGTTTGTTCTTGCCGACCGGGCGAGAGACGTGATCTGCTTCTTTCGGTTTTGATATTTCGCGCCGTTTAATACTTTCGTGCTTCGAATCGGCGGTCTGCTGCGGCAGCAGAGGTGATGGCTTGGTGATCTCCGCGGCTAAGAAGTCACTCGATATTTCGTACACGTCCTGGTGTGCCTTCTCCAAAAGCTGCGCCTCCTTGGGTAATGGAGGCAGCGGTTTCGTCGGCGGCTCGAATACCCTCGCTTGTTCCCGCTTCAGATCTGTTCTCTCCACCATGTTCCATGAGTCATCATCCGTAATATTCTTAATCTTGTCCTCCCTCGATGATTCCCTGTCATCTCCGAGGAAGTCTATGAGTGGTGATTTCTCCGGCGCCGGCAGCATCGACGATCTTACGTTATGCATGAAATCCTCGTCGATATTGGCGCTGTCGGGCGGAGTGACATCGCGCTCATATTGTTTCCCGTAATCGGTAAACAATGTATCCTCGCGTTCCTCAAATGGTTGAACCTTGCTGTCAATAGCTTTCATTGACGCCAACAGAAGGTCGTTATCAGAATCTTGGATGGTCGAGGTCGGTAACAACGGCGGCTGGAGATGTATCTCTTCCTGCACGTTGTTGTCGTTGTCATCGTCGTCGTCGTCGTCGTCGTCATCATGAAATTGATGGCGGTAGGCCCGCTCGGTCTCAACGAATGCCATGCTGGCCAGCTTGGGATCGACCGGGTCCAGCGGCTGCTGAAACGGATCCGACGACTGCGCCATGGCTGCGCACTTGTCGAAGTCCGCGGAAGGCGGCGGTGTCGCCGGCACGGGTTTTGCTTCGGCGTCAAGAAGCGCGCTGGGCAATACGGAGTTTAGCGGCTGAAAGGAGTCACCGATATGCAGTAGATCATCGACACGTGGCGCGTCAATCGGCCGCGGGAGCGGTTGTTGTTGATGCTGCTGCTGATGCTGCTCCGAATGGTCATCCGGAGAGCCGTCGTGACCGAGATGCTCAAAGTCGTCAACGGAATCATGATCCCTCTTGAGAAGGACGTCGTTAACGGCATCCTGGATTCGCGAGTCCATCTTCGGTTTACGGAATGACAGCGATTCGTGCGCTTGGAAATTAACGATGACTCACCGGATCTGCGCGAATTGGCCGATAGCCGTTAGAGCTTCGATCCCCGCACGATGTCGGTTGCGCGGAATATTGCGCGACGCTCCCTACTCTCATAAAAGTCAGGTACGAGGAGCGGCGCTACTCCCACCTGCCACCGCTGTCGTTGGTGCCGTCGTGACTCCTCAGTGGGGCACATCCGACGTCCTTGCTGCCCTGACTCACCACCGCCTTCGGTCGGGTATTTCGCGCCTCGCTTATGGCCTCTTTTTCTCACTTCACGAGAGATGCGCGAGCACCCAGAAGTACTAACTACTTGTCATATGTCGTCGTCGTTGACCAGCTGACGGAGAACAAAGACACAAGGGACGTAACTAGGAAGCGCGATGGGACAAAAACACTAGCAGGGTGGAAAACTGAAAATGTTCGACCGCGAACTGTACGATGCGCGAAACGGTAAAGTCGAAATACTAGTATTCCGGTTGTATTCGATGCGATCGACGTAGACGGGTAGATTTGGCCGTCATGAGATGTACTCCCCTCATGAAGGGGTTGCCCTCTCCCGTTGCTCCGAGTAACGTGAACCAATCGCGCGATCTCTACCATCCCCACCACCGTCCGGTACGCTGAAGTGAGCGGCAACCGTTGCGCCCGTTGCGTCCGATTATGACCATTCGCTTCGCTGACTAAACGGCAGGTCGGTGTGTTATGATCGGTGACTTAGATACTCGAATTCAGAGAATTCTTTTTTGGAGTTGGTTGCAAGTAGAAGATGAGAATCTCCAATAATCGTAAAATAAACAGAAAAAACGGAGCAAATTTATCTAGGCCAGAGCATCATGAACCCGGATGTTCTTTCACAGATTTTTTAGCCAATTTTGAAATCGATTTTCTCTTAGCAAAGATGTCCCAGAAAAATCACAATTGATAACAATTTTCGAATTTTGTGTTATATACTGTGATAACTCCGATTTTAATTCTATAAGATCTTTTGAAATTAATTGTGTGAACAATATTAGTTTATTATTCATTTTGTTTCTCCAAATTCGCGAAATATCTCCTTTCAATTATTTTTAAATTAAAAATTATTAATATTTATATTTTTGCTATAAAAATTGACTCCAAGCCCAAATTGACCAAAGAATTTTTCATTATAATGATATTCAATTTTTCGGACACCTGTCTGCACGACAAATCATGTTTGATATACAGTAATGTGACGTAAATTGTATTACAAATTATAAAATAAATTTCTAACAAATATTTTTAAATAAATCGCAAATATGTATTTTTTAAAGAATCTATATATCAGATTTAAAATAAATTGAAAATTGATTTATGGAACAAAAATAGATCTGTTTATTTTATCATTTTTATATATTTTATATATTTTCTTTTATTCCTTATACAGATTATCTATTTATTTTAAACGTAGACAATTTTTGTCTTTTAATTATTTTTTATATTTTTCTATACATACATATGTATGTACTATATGTAATTACAATATATATATATATATATATATAAACAGGATGATTTATTTAAACGATTAAATATTGCAAAAGGAAGTCATTTCATAAAAAAATGTTTTAGACAAAAAAAAAATACAATTTAAACAAGAATAAATTATGGTAAAACTTTCGAAAGAACTGATTTTTCAAGATCACATAAAAATCATTGTCATTTTTAAAAATGAATAGTTCAATTTTTTTTCCTCAACATGACTCTTCTTACTTTCAATTTAAATTTATGTGATTCTTCTAGTTATTCAATTATACATAAAAGAATCAAAATAGAGTTATCAAAAAATAAATAATTTACAAGATATTTTATACATGTTCCCAAAATGTGCCAGCATAAAGTATCTCATAAATTATTAATTTCTTGGTAACTCTACTTTAATTATACTGTTATATTGTATGTAGATTAACTAGAAGAATCATATTATGTAAAAAGAAATAAAGAATCATACAATTCTATTTAGAAAATGGCAGTAATCATTATATGAGTATGAAAAATTGATTTTTGCTAAAATTTGATTTTACTATTATTTGTCCCTCTACAGATCATATTTTCAACTTTTGTCTTAAATCTGTTTTTTGTGAAATGACTTTCTTTTGTAATATTCGACTGTTAAAATTAAAATAAATCATTCTATATATAATTACAATAAACATTTACGCAGGCGTGCGTGCGCGCGCAGGAAAAAAAGAGGGAAAGAGAGAGGGGCAGAGACTGAGAGGAAAAGAGAGAGAGGGGAAGAGAGAGAGGGGGGGGAAGGAGAGAGAGGCGGGGAAGAGAGAGAGGCGGGGAAGAGAGAGAGAGGGAAGGGGGAGAGAAATCTTAGTACATCAGAATATACATACATATTTAATCATAAGTAAAAGTGTTTATTAATTTCTAAAAAAAAAAAAAAATTATCGTGACAAAAAATTCAAAACAATTTTTTTCTGACAAAAATTATAGTCATGCCATAGTTATTAAAAATAAGACTATATATTTTTTTTAATACTTTAGAGTAATAAAATAGATAAATTAACTGATATATATCTTTCTTTGTTATAAATAAACCTTATAAAGATAAAAAATTACAGTACAACACATAAAAAATATTTAAAAATGTACGCACCATTAAATCAAAAATTAATTGCTTAAACATAAATACGAAATAGATCTAATCAAATATTTACTGACAAAATGACATAAATTTTAATCTAAAAAAACTTTTAAAGATATATATTGTATAAATTTAATTAAAGAATTTTATTTTATTTTATTTCTTTTTGTGATTCTATTCTGATGAATTCACGCAAATTTTATTATAAGTTTAAAACAAATTTAAAATCAAAGTAAAGTATAAAAACTTGGTATACCCGAATCACATTTAATCAAGTCAAAATATTATTTAGTATACGTAATATTTATAAATAAATAAGAAAAGAACATCAATAATATTTTATTAATGTTCTAATAAATCTATACAAATAATAAAATAATGTGTGATCAAATAAAATCTACTAATTAATAACAATTATATTGATTGTTATAACGATTCTAAATTGGCACAATATTTTATAAACCAATACGTTCAAACAACGAATTTCTGGGAATCTGGAAATTTGCATTGAGATCTATCTATGTGAATTATCAAACTTAAATAGATATAAATATTTGAGATATTTTTAAATAATTAAATCTGTTTAAATAAACTTGTATATTATTGTTTTGCATAATACACTATCCAAGTTGGTACGAGATGCAGTTGTAATATGTAAAAATATTTTTTATATAAAATATGTATTTCATATAAAATGACATATAATGCGCTTTAATAGTAAAAAGTTGTTTAAACACCGTGTTCAAATATTGATAAATAAATACAACCCATATTATTAACCAACTTATTCTAGGTTTAAATTCTTAAGATTTTTATTTACGGGAACCTATTAATAGTAGAAGTAGTAAAAGAACGTGTATATATAGCACGAACGTGCAGAAGTGTAAATCATTGCAATTCAGTTATAGCTATACAGAATAATCTATTGAAAAAAACGGAACATTACATTGCAGAAGCATACGAATACATATTTACTTTAATTAATTTAGAATGAAATCCATTCACAATTTCGTGATTATACGTGATCATATCTTACACAAACATCAAATAAACATATATCATCAAATTAAGTATATGTTTTGTATATTTTCTATAATATTAAATCAATAATTTCATACGATTTTTACCTGTAAATAAAAGACGATTTTTTATAGAATGCAAAATTTTTGTCAAGAATGATTGGCCGTTGTGACTCACTATTTTTTGCTATTTTTCGCAGCCTTATAATTCCTCGCTTAAAAAACTTCCTGCTTTTTTGGCAAAAAATTGTTATAAGTTTTCCAAAAATTACATAGAATTATTGATCAATTGATTGATTTCAATATATCAAAATTTTGTTATTGTAACGCTTATGCTACATATATCAGTAATTTCTCCAATGATTCAAATATGAATTAAATTGAAATATTTTGAGATAAAATGATGATATATTAATACATTATATTACATACTATTAATTTTTAATACATTATTTAATTCTATTTATGTACATACTATACGAATATGGAAAAAATGATAATGGAAAAAATGATAAATCTTATTTAAAATACACAAATTGACTCCAATTTTTGTGAAGAAAAATTTGATTTTTGTTTGGCATTCTTCATTAGAAATCAATGAAAAGTTTTATTTGAAACATTATTTTGTCAATTTCAAATCCAGCAAATAACACAAGTTCTTATTCCATACATTTCTATTCAGTATGGGTATACGCGCGCTTGCGGTAGTATAGAACGTAATTTTTATTTCATATGTAATATATTAAATTTTATAATAAATCTAAGTTAAGTTAAATTAATTTTGAATTCAATGTTTCTATCCCATTATTATTTTATTTTTGTAACTCGGAAACAGCTATCATAGTAACAATGATTTTCCTCATCATTTTTTAGTGATTAAAATATTTTTGGACATTATTTTCATAATCGCATCATCAAAAATTAAAATCTTCTCGTGTGACTCCTTAAACTTCATTTTGTACAATAAATAAATATATATATATATATATATATATTGTATATATATATTTTATTTCAGAATTATTAATTTTTACACAAAATGCCGCTTTTTAATGAAACTTTAAACTGTAATAAAATTTTGTTTAAAGGGGTAACGCGCGCGCGCGCACATGAAAATTTATGCTAAAAAAAAGTATAATAAATATATCCTGAAAATTTTTTTATTAATGTTTTTGAAGTCGTTGATTTCAAATTTGTACTCAAAATTCGAAAATTTAAAATTCAATGTGGTTATCAAAGGTTTTGAATAATTACTCACATTTGAAATCTTATATTTGTAGTATATTTACATTGGAAATTTCTTGTAAATAGTTTTGATTATGCCAAGAGCGAGACTTTTTCATTAAAAACTAGATTTCTTCGTTATTGGATTATTTTTATTATTTTATAGAAAAAAAATAATAAAAATGACTTTAAAACCAGTTGTTTAAATTTAAAAATTCCTTTAAAACAAAATTATTAAAAATTAAGAAACAAAAAATGCCAATACGGTCCAAGCGGATCTTGATGCTCGATATTATTATACTGTGCAGTGAATCTTACAATTTATTTCAAATAAACCGCGCACCGCATAATCGTCTGACTTTCAACGCAGCTAAAAACCGATATTACATAATATCATAATTAAATTGCCAACGGCAATCTAATAAATCGATGCTCTTAAAGCATCTATTA